GCTCTTGCAGCTTTTGCTCCCCCGGACTTATAGCAACTGCCTCTACTTGTGCAGGCTGCGCTACAACCTGTTCTGGGTCCGCTGAGGATACCCCCTCAGCTCCGTCTTTTGCTGTTGATTCTTCACCAAGGCCCCCCGCCTTCGACTCTTGCGCCACAGCGACCCGCCCTCCCTCTTGCTTTCCATCAGATAACATCTCGAGCACCTGACTTGTTCCGAAAGTCGGCTCCATGTATGCTGACGCAAGGGCATCAGGCTCCGCCGTGCTTAGCAATTCGAATAGAAGTGGGCCCTTTAGGTGTTCGACCTTGCTTACTTTATACTATAAGGCTTCGCAGAATTTGAGCTGGCTGGTCTCGGCCAGGACAAACTCCCCCGCCTTGTTGTAGCTACAGTAGAGATACGCTGACCCCTTTGGACTGTAACCTACGAACACAGCCGGCAGCCACTTGGGTGCGCTCTTGCTGGCTGGGTGTTCGTCTAGAACGAAGCACAAAGACCCAAATCTTCTCAACTTTCCGAAGTTTGGCTTTCTCTTGTGACGTCGTTCGTGCGGCGTGGTCTTTGTTCTTGTTCCATCCTGCTCCCTGAACTCTCTCTCGCGAATCGAATAGAGAAAGGCTACTAGCATCCAGCACAGGTCCGCCAACCTGCCGCCGACTCCCCACATTAGTGCCCTGACTTTGTTGCCGCTTGTTCTCCAGAAACGCTCGATCCGAGAGTTCCTCGTAGGCGAGTATGGTGGCGCGTACGAATTTGCTAGGATGTACAAGTCAGCGAGCATCTTACTTAGCCCACTTTTCTGTCTGAAATTCCGGACCATTGTCCGACCGAATTTCCTCCGGCGGCCTTGTGTGCCTCGTGATCTTTCGCATGGCTTCATCGGCATACTTGGGGGACTTTATTGGCAACACCATCGGGCGCCGATCATGGTCATCGATGGCCCCAAAGATGACCGCATTGCCAAACGTGCTCTCCTGCTGGTCGCTTGCTAGATCTTTGAAGTCAACCTGCCACCTCTGGTTTGAGCGTGTAGGTTCCCACATAGAAGGCCTGACCTTCTTGGCCGCTCTTTTGCCGTAGTCTTGTGTCGCCATACAGGCGGCACAAAACATGCCTTTTGGTAGGGGTAGGAAGTGCCCTGATCTCTCGTGTTCCAAGACTTCGGGGCACATGTCCTGCGTGGTTCTAATCCCTGCTACGATCCTTAACTCCGTGGGCAGGCCAGCTTCAAAGGAGATGGCCACGCGTGGGAGGAGTCCCCCTCCCCCGGTCCCCACGTGTTCCCCCGTTGGTCCCTTCAGTATCACCCCACCGCCCGGTGGGAAGGATACCATGTCCCCTGCCTGCTGCATCTGCGGCACGGAGATATAGAAATCTGATAGCCTTGGATGGTAGACCCCGTGGCGAAGTTCTCTCAACGAGCTACTTCTGAAAATTCCTTCCCGTGCAGTTCCAGGAATTTTCTCCCCCGATGCTGCTACTAGGACGCATCTGGCCCCGAGTTTCTCAAAGTGGTTCAGATATGGTGAGCAACACGACTCAGCCCCACTATCGACTATCGCATCGACACACAGATCCTGGTCTGCCTGTGTCGGCGCGTTGCGACTCCGTCGCGTGATCCCGCTGATTGTCCTTATGGCCCTCGCCATATACTGACTAACTTTGGTCCTCTTTAGCCCTTTACCTGTCCCTACACCCGACTCGGATGCAGCATCGCTACCACTACTAGCATCTGACCAAACGCTTTTGCTTGTGCGTTTGTTTCTCTTGTTGTTTTGTGTCTCTTCGTTTTTACTTAAACTACTACTGTTAACCAAACTTAGCGAAGAGGAAGACTTCCTGTCACTTAATCTAGAATGTACCTTTACCGACTTGCTCCTCTGGCTTTCTTCGCTGCTGCTTAGGGTGTCCTGGCTGGTTGCGCTTGCGCTTCTTTTGCTGCCGCTGGCGCTCCGGGCTCTCACGCTTCTCACGCTACTCGACCTCCCTCGGGCCGGCGTGGCGCTTCTGTCCCTCGTGTGCCTGTTGTTGTTGCTTCCGGGCCTGCTTCTGTGCCGGTCTTCTCGACCTCCAGAAGGGCGCCCTCGGCTGCGGCTTCTGTTGTCTTGGCGCTCACGGCTCGGACTGCGTCCCCGCAGGTCCCTGTCGTTGTTCTTGCGCTTGTTTGCCTTTGCGTCGGGGTTGTGTGGGCACCTAAACCAACCGTGGTCGTCTGTCTGGCACTTTCTGCACTTCCAACTTCTCTTTCCCGGATCCCCTGCGCGGGGTCCTTTCGAGATAGAAAGAATGCTGTGCGTCTTGTCGTTCCTTTTTCCTCCGTTTCCTGCTGCCGCAAGAAGACTCTGCTCGCGCTGCTTCAAGCAGGCTTCCACAGCAGCCAAATCCACTTCAGCTTTGTCCAGGAGAAAAGGAGCAAGATCTTTGTACGACTGACCTAGGTTGATCAGGATGCTAGCGATCGCTAACGCCTCTGGCTTGACATCTTTCATATCACGAATTTCCTCGCGAACCGAAATCATCAATTGAGAGACCGTCTTAGCCCCGCTGCTGTTGTTTGCCACGTTCATGACCCTCTGAATTCTCGTGATCGTGCCTGCTAGACCTGGGCAGGCCTTTTCCAGCTCGAGTTTCGAGAAAATCTTCCGGATCGTTTCGTGGTCGTTGGTGTCACCCTGTCGGGCTAACCGGTGTGCCTCGCCTTCTAACGTGTTTAGAAGGACCCCCCCGAGGGTTCGCGCCTTGGTGCGAACTCTCTCGGCCTTTTCTGGTGCAAGTTCTGCCAGCCAATCCGCGCCACCGCTGAGAAACTCCGAAAGCCCTGCCAAGTCTAACGCCTTCAGCGTACCGACCCGCCATGTTTCGTATTCTCTGTGGTAAGCCTCCTGGTCTCGGCCTTCGAACTTTCGGACAGCCCTGAGCGCGTCCGCCGCTCGCTTGGTGTCCTCTTCGTCCTTCCTCCGCGCACGCTCTGCGGCTCGCTCCGCCCTTTCCTCTTCCCGTTGGGTTGCTTTCGCGGTTGTTTCCTGAATGCTTTCCCGTCTAAGTTCCTGAACCATGGCCATGGTGGCCGCCGTTGCCTGTCGTTGCTCTTGGCTTGCCGTTGCCAACGTGTTCACCGCTGCGGCCATGTTGTTCCAAAGCCATGGGTTCCAAGTTCCTGAATTTCCGGGGTCCATTCCTGAAACGTCGGCCCCGACGCCGCCACCAATGGCGCCGGGCTGGTCTTGTCCAATTCCGTAAGCGTTGCCGGGTTGAGCTTGTTGGACATGTTGGGCAGAGTTCTGGCCGGGTTGACCTTGTTGGACGTGTTCGGCAGAGTTCTGGCCGGGTTGACCTTGTTGGACGTGTTGGGCAGCGTTTTGGCCGGGGTATTCCCCTGCGCCATCGTGTTCGAGGTTGGCCATTTTGGAAAGTTTTAAGGGTGTGGATGAATGTAAGGGCCTACAGCCTTCCAGATATTACGCCCCTGGCAGGCTTGTCCCTGTTGTTGTGGTGGTGGTGTTACCGAGTAACATGCACAACCTAAATAGCATGCATTTTCATGTTGTTCGTATGCTGATGGTGGTAAGTTAATCAAAGGCCATCCATCATCATCATCCTGAGGGGTTTCAGTGCATAAGGATCCCGGTCGCTATGATCTTCACACGATTAGACTCATGGCCTTGAGCCTGTTGCAATCATATCATTCAACGAGAACATTCAGAAGGAGAAAGACGAACGCAAGCGGAGAACCAACAGACCAAGAGAGAAGAACCAAACGACTCAATTCAGGGAATGCGGAACACCGAGCGACTTGGTTGGACCTTGATCTTCATGCGTAACACGAAGAGACACCGCGATGATTTTTTTAAGAAACAAATCACCGAGACCCAGTTCGATCATCAGGATCAAGCTGCTGCGTTTCGGCTAGATTTCTTAACTTAGCTCAATCATGAGGGTCGAGCAGCTACTTCCTTCAGGTGTGTAATCGCAAAAGTGTAGACCTCTCATCATCATTTTTAGCGATATAAGTCGTCACAACAGATGAGAGCTGTATTCACATGAGGGAGCACAAATTTGTAGAATTGCTGGAAAGTTTGCCAAAAAGTCGCGGCTTTCCAAGTATTCTTCTATTTAGATTTTTCAACATGTTGAAATATAACATAGTCTTCATTACGATTACAACCGATTCAATTTCAATGCATGGAATGCAAACGAATCAAAAAAATCTAAATATTGGCTGGAAGTACCAGGTTGAGCTGGAGTGATTGATGCGATCAAAGTCGCGTAAGAACATCACCCTCAATCTATCTACGGACTGTCCAACATGGAAAAACACGTGGTTGCCAAAAATCTAAAAAGTCTAAATCCTGCCGAAGCTTGTTTTCCGCGACTGGTCGGCCAGCACAGTGAATCAAATTGACTCGATCACAGGTCTCGCCAGGCACATCAATCAATCACAACAGGATCGCAATCGGCGCATCGGACATATCTGTGAATGTTGTGTAATGAAAGAATGTTGATCTTGGAGGTGGGCGCTCCGTCCTGTCTGTAATTTGCGCGCCTTGGTGGCAGTGTACCTTCAAAGGATCATTACGACAAGAAAGTCTTATCCTGCGCTGCTGATCATGAAATGGGCCGCGAGTCAGGCTTGCTCGGGTCGGACATTACTCTGGCACAATCGCTGTCGAATCTGGAGACGTTCTGTGAATGGTAATGCCTGATCACAGAACTGAAAATTAAGACCCCCGACAAGAAGAGAGGTACTTTGTTCCACTAATACGCTGTTCCTAGATCCTTCTTGAACCATGATCAAATTCGGTCAGCAACGAAGAAGTTGATCAGGTTTTAGGTCTGTTGATTGGAGCTATACTATACATAGTCCTCACACCGACTGTTAACGTTATTTTCATTTGACACCATAGACAAGTAAAGGCTTCCTAAAGTTAACCTACTCGTCCGGTAACCACAGCGACTGCAACGACGTGGTCTATCATTGTCACTGTCCTTTTGTGAGTCGTGTATATAGACAAGAAAATGATGTGGCTGTTTTCGTAACACGACCCGGTACTAGATTACACAAATCAAGCATGATGACGACAAGTAGGTCCAAGACCATCTTCAACTAGAGTGACGACAACTTTTTTTGTCTTCGGGGCCGGGCGAGTCACCAGAGGACTGAGTCTCAGGTTTGAAGTAGATGTCCACGATAAGAAAATGAAGGCTTTCTCCAGGATGCCCCAGGAAGGGGCAGGTCAGTTGGAGTTGGTGGACGAGGATGAGATCGATTTCGAACTTGTGTGTGATGAGGTGGACGCGACGACGGCTGCCCGCGAACCAAAAGGTTCTGAGGCTAAAGGACCGGGCGTCGTGGGTTCTGGATCCGGTGCTCACTGTCAGCAAGGAGGTCCAGGTGGGGCTCCAAAACAGGACGCTTCTCGTGGTGGCCCTCACCCACGTTCTGGTGGTGGTCCACAACACATTATGCGTGAAGCTGGCCCCCACCAAGGCTATAAAGCAGCACAGCAGCACAATTTTCGACCTGTGTCTGTCCAGTACGACGCTCTGACAGCGACTGAGATGGCGAGACTGTCGACAGTGGCCGTGAACACCGAGATTCTCTACAACGAACACCGGCAACGCCAGGACTACGGCCCGTTGGACCTGCGCTTTGGGCCCTCAGAAAGGGGAATTTTGTGCAAAGAATGCGGGCTCCAGATAATGGAATACCCAAATGGCTGTCCAGGTTGCCCAGGTCATTTTGGACACGTCCCGATGAGTTTGCCCGTTTTTCATCCCGGTTTTCTGAGACACTTGTACCTCTTAGCCCAGTGTCTGTGCAAAGCTTGCGGTCGTATGTTGTTGCCAGAGCAGGAGTCCGTGATACTAGAAGACGTTGCTCCAGAGACACCGGCGTCTAGTGGAGATATTGATGCTGTACCAGGACAAGTCTCCTCTGGCGGTCTACAACTACAAGCTTCAACACTGTCGCAGGCAGCGGCAACAACTTCCCGACCAGTGAAAATGAGTCGTGCTGCGACATCCAGAGCCAAAGTTATTCTTCTATTTAACTCTGATCTACTTATTTAGTTTTTGTTCTTTGAGTATGAGTGTGAGAGAAGCGTCTTTAGTTCTATTTCTCGTGTTCAGCACCCCCTTCAAGCTGAAAAATCATCTATAACAGAGACTACCATGGAGCACTTATTTCTCATTCGTTCTTCGAATATGATCTACTTCTAGTTAAAGTTATGTTAGGATGATTAGCATTAGCGATAAGTTGGAATTTGGGTCTATATCTAAGCTAACTCCCCAGGACATTATCGAGAGGTGCGCCCCGGGTAGGAGGCGGAAAGAGGGAACCATCGTGCGGGGCGGCGGTGGCGCAAACGCCACCGGGCTCCCCGGTTGAAAGTAACGCGAAAGCGCCTGGGCTGTTGCTTGTGTGTTGGTGTTCGGTTCTTCTGTGTCTACGTCTAGCCCGTTCAGGATGATCCCGAGCACCGCCCAAACGCCTGGCGGCTCTTTCTACGGTCACGCGGGTGCCGTGGGTGTTCTACCGCTTTCAGCTGTTTGCCGTTTCTTTGTTGGTTGTCGTGGTTTTCGTGCTCACCCTGTCCAGAATGATCCGGAGCACCACCCAAACGCCTGACGGGTTTACCGTGGCGCGGATGCGTCTGGTTTTTCACACTTCTCGGCTGTCGCTTAGTTGCTTGGCCGTCTGCTTTTTTGTATGTTGTTCAGAGTTCAGCTCTGAGCTTTCAGCCTTGGCCCTTCGACTTTGGGTCTTCAGCTTTGAGCTGTCAGGTGTGGGCTTTCAGCTTGACACTTTAAGGCTCAGGGTTAACCAATTCCCATGCCTCTTTCAGTTTTTTCAGTTTGTTTATTCAGGCCGCGGGGGCTTTGGCTTTATATTATCGCGTAGATTTTGAAGTAATTTAGTGCCCATCTGCGTAAAGTCAGGGCTA